TTACTTTCTCAGTTCTTTTTATTTTTTTGAAAAAAAAAGACGGTGTCGACGACAGTGCACACGAAGGAAGACGAAAATGCATTTTGCATATATATATATATATATCTGGATTAAGCAGAAGCAAGCATAAAACAGAGACGTTAAAGAATAAAAAAAAGAAGAAGAAAAAGAAGAAAGGAAGAAGAGAAATAATAATATGAATAAAACTATGACTACATGATGGCGGTGGGACACTCCAAAAAGTATAGCTCTCACTCTCATTCATACTCTCGCTTTCAGTCACTTGCACAATGTGAAGACAGAAAAAGCATGAAGGGAGAGAACATTGGTGCTTGGCAACAACACACATCGCATATACCTACCCTATGCATCAGTGTGTCATATTTAGTTTAGACTCTCCTACTATAACTTCTTCGTCACTTATATTTATTTTTAGTGACTCGTCATTTAAGACAACAACATCTTTCTTTCATTCTTTATTCTGTTTTAGATCGAACCATTTTCTTTCACTATTAGTAGTATTGTTTTTTTTTTTTATTCTGACTTTATTTTCATCTAGTAAAATCAACATATACATATATATATTGAGAAAGAGAGAGAGAGAAAGAGAATTATGAACGATCAACCAACAGATTATTCTTCAATTGATTCATTTCATGTTGGTCGTCGTCGTAAACCAAATTTTACTGAACATGAAGTTTTAAATATAATCGATCAATATGATACATATAAAGAATTATTACATTCTCGTGAAGCATCAAAAAGTGTTATTGCACAAAAACAAGCTATATGGAAACAAATAACAGATAATCTCAATGCAACATATCCACAAGTTGAACGAACTGTTGATGATGTTAGACGTAAATGGAAAAAATTACAAAGTGAAGCTAAACGTGAAGTTGCTGCTAATCGTGCAGCACAAGCATCTGGTTCAACAGCATCAATGTCAAATAAACAATTAAATTTATATAATCGTATATTATCTATATGTCGTCCATCATCAATATCATCTCATTTTCCTCATGGTGTTTTACAACATCAACAAATTTTACAACAACAACAACAATCAAATATAAATAATACTAATCATGATATATCATTTAATGAACAGGTTAAGATTTCAAAAGAGAAACAAAAAAAATCAATTAAATAAAATTTCTTGTTTTTTTTTTAGTCATCAGATAAAGTTGATTCTCCATCATCAGATCTTCCGAATGGTGTTGGTGGTCAAATAGATTCTCCAGGTGATGAAAGTGCTAGTCTACTTGGTAATGATGACAATTCAAGAAGTCCAATAACAAATTTTCCAACAACATCAAATATTTCATCTCAACAAATAAATTCATCAACAATAGCAATATCAAGTAATGGACAAGTATCAAAACGTACATTAGATAAACGACGTAAATTATTAAGAACATCAGTTAATTCACAATCTCTTAATAATATAAATAAATCTTATGGACAACAACAAAATTCACTTCGTTATGAATCATTAATCAAACGTAAACGTACACTTGAATTAACAAGTCAAAAACTTCATAATGATAAACAAGTATTATTAATTGAAAAGAAAAATATTGATATTAAATTAGCAACAAATGAATGTGAAAATAAACGTATTGCTATTGAAAAACGTCGTATAGAACTTGCATTACAAAAAATTCAATGTGAAACACCATTATCAACAAATGGTAATAATAATAATAATAATAATAATAATAATGTATCTGATCAAGATGATCATGATGACAATGATAGTCTTGATGATATGAGTGATTTTAATGAATAGATTATTTCTATTTGCACAATTATATATATAAATATGTTTTCTTATTACTATTACAATATCCGTCCACTTTTTTGTTTTTTGTTTTGTTTTGTTTCTTTTCATTCTTTCTATTTGCTATTCCCGAATCTCTTTCTTGTTGTTTTCTTTTTATCTAGCAACAGTGTGATATTTTGTTTTTGTTTCTTCTTCATCATTCGTTTTTATTTTATGCGTACCTTTGTGATACTCAAAGCAGAACAGAACAATGGCTACTTAGCAAAGCAAAAAAAAAAATATCGAGTACTATTGTGATATATTCTTTTGGTTTTTCTTCTTTTTATTTGTTTGTTTGTTTGTGCCCATATTCTTTAAAGTTCACATGCAAGAAAATGATTGTAATTTTCTAAAATAATGCACAATCTATACACATATGTACTTACATAATGTGTGTTTTGGAATTTTCCCTGTTGTTTTTAATATTTGTTTTGTTTTTCTAATGTTTACTACACTGTATATGTGCATATATCAATTATGCATTTTTTTCTCTCTCTCTCTATGCGTACAGGTTTTTTTAGCGCATTTCTTAACACTAAATTTTTTGACGTATATATGAGTGTACTGTCCAAAAATGAGAGAAAAAGAAAATACACATACATACAACGATGGAAAAAAATAATAAATAAAATTATTTAAAATAATAGTTCTACACCGGTATTAGAAACTGTATTCTTCTTATTTTATTGATAATTTTAAAAATGAATAACGAAAAAAAAAAACAATATATTTCTATTACCAATCTGGTACAAAACCACATTGTTGACAGAGCTTTTTATCACCAATATTACAATGTTCTTGTCTTAATGGACAATTTTCAATTTGCTTTTGAATTGTATTTGTTAAACCAATATGAGTTGCATCACATATAGGTGGACATTTTGTATATTTACATGCACATATTAAATATACAGTTTGATTACGTTCTGGTACTGTCCATTTAAGTGGACGAAAAGATGTACCTTTATGTGAACCTTTAAAAATAAAACATTGTACATTTTATGCAACAATATTTATAATCGAACTCTATGAGTTTTATCAAAATTCTAACAAAATTAAAAAAAAAACACTGACGATTGCTCTACTTTTTCTGAATAATTTAACTCTTTCAGTCCCATAGTAGCAAAAAACCTACACATGTTTTATAATTATTTTTCAAAACATAATTTAGAAAAATTAGTATCTAATCTCTTGAAATGAAGCAATAAAGAGTGCTCTAGAATCCTTCTCAACTATCTGCAAAGGCGATATATATATAGTCGTTCATTGAACAAGTTCTGATTGGTGACCAAAGTTCACAGAAGAGAATAGGTGAACTTATTCACTTTTCTGCCAGAAAATAAAAACAAATTCAACAAACGCTGGCGAACAAATCTCCATCAGCTCAATTGTTAGCACATATGTCTGTTGCTGGACCTAAAAGAAGATAGCTTCTCCTGTGTTTAGTAGTATAAAATGCAGTTTTTGTGGCTTTTTTGTTATTTCATGAAAAACTTGTATAAGTTTTGCAATTAAAATTTCTATTGAAGTATAATAAAATTCAATAAAAACTTAGATACTGAGTACAATACATGCGAGTGCATACGAAATATTTATGTCTTATGTTTGTGTCTAAACTAAGCTAATATAACAATCTACTTGAATTGAATCCCGCAGAAATAATTTGAGACTGAAAGGATTAATTAAGAAATTATACTTTTATTCAATGTATTTACGAATATATGAAATTTATTTTTACTACGCACTTAACAAGAATAGCAAATACATAAACAAAGAAAAATAAAATTATTTCTATATATGAAATCTTGTATTTTTGTTTTTAAAAGTTTCTAAATTAATTTAGGTATCGACGAAGTTAAAATATTAGCGCCCTCTCTTGTTCCTAGGAAAGATAGATTCCTTATGATTCATATTTTACAAAAACAAATCGAATGTCAAATATGAATATTAAAATCATACCATCACACCATGGTTGATTTTTACTTAATCCACATGTACACCATAATTTAAGTTCACCTGGTTTTAAATCTCGTATTGAACAAGGTCCATACTTAAAGAAAGAGATACGAGATTAAATATTAGGAAATTTAAAATAAAAAAATATGAAATCATAAATTAATCACATTTTAATTACATTCAAATCATTAATTATCAATTAAGTTCTTTTTTTTTCCTTGTGTTTTTACCGTCGGAACATGCGGCTTTAACATCGATTGATCAGTCATATTTAAATATAAATGATTCATCATCCATCTATCTTATTATTTTCATGATGATGATCTTTGTAACCAATAAAAAATTTATCAACAAAACCTTTATATTGAGTAAAATTTTAAAAGTTAAAATTTTCTTAATATATTTATTTGTTTTTTATTTTTATTTGTTTTTTTAATATTAATAAAAATTTGTTTATTTTTATTATAAACACAACATTAACAATTCAATTCCATAAAATATTCTATGGATAAAAGCAAATCTAACTCATTTCTTATATTAAAGTTCGATAGACAAATCAAGTTATTTTCTTTTTTTTTTTTTCTATTTGATATATAAAATTTTCTATTCATTGATTTTAGATATTAATATGTCAAGTGAAGCACCCAAAACCGCTAAGGAACCATTTGTTCCAAAATATGAAATTGCAGCAGGTCTTCACAAAGGTCGTAAAGTAGAAAAATTTGTAACAAAACGTCTTCGACCATCACGTCGTACACATGTATTAATTCAATTATTTATTTATTTTTTTTGTTTTTATCAATTTTCTATTTAGAAAAAAAGTAAACATGTGAAATTTGTTCGTGATCTTGTTCGTGAAATTGTTGGTTTTATGCCATATGAACGACGAGCTATGGAATTGATGAAAGTTGGCCGTGATAAACGTGCATTAAAATATGTTAAAGCACGTGTATGTTTATTGAAATTGTTTTTTTTTTCGTTTAAATAAATGAATTTCTTTTTTTTTAGTTAGGAAGCCATCAACGAGCAAAAAAGAAACGTGATGAACTTCAAGCAGCTATCATCGCTCAACGCAAAGCTCATAAATAAAAAAAATTAAAATCTTTGTTTATGCTTTGTTTTTCAAAAAAAGAAAATAAATAAAAAACATCATTGATAAACAACAAACAACAAAAAAATATTTGTTTTTTTTTTTTTTTGTTTCTATTATAGATTTAAAATGGATAGAACACCAATACATGATCCATCAATGACACCATCACCTAATACAATATCTACTAGTACAACATCTAATCATCCTAGTCAAAATTCATCAAAAACAATGATCTATATTTGTGGTGAATGTCATAAAGAAAATGAATTAAAATCTACAGATGTTATTCGATGTAAGAATTAATATTAAATTTATTTTATTTATGATTTGTTTTGTTTTTTTTGTAGGTAATGAATGTGGTTATCGAATATTATATAAAAAACGTACAAAACGATTGATAGTATATGATGCCAGATAATTGATTATTTTTTTGTTTTTTGTATTTTGTACAAAATAAATGAAGGAAAACGAATTTTTGTTTTGAGAATTAGTCAGTAAATAAAACGTTGAAGCAAAACAAAATTTTATCAATGACCATTATCTAGATTGTTAAATCAAAAGAAAAATAAAACTAATTGAAAAAGTTGTATTCAATATTTAAATATCATGATGAGTTTAAAAAGAGTTTTCGATTAAAAATCTATGTAAGTTTTATCTTTAATTCATTCTATCAAAATTTTGTTGCACACTGGAAGAAAAGAAATAGAACGATGATTTTCCATTGCTGTTTTTATAACGAATAATGACAATTTCGAGAACATAAATTTAGCAAAATAATAAATACATTCTTCCAGATTAAATCTCGGCTAGTTTTTTGATGAATGTAGAGTTGTTATGCAATGCCCATCTTTGCTGGTAGTTTATGTGGAATAATTATCTACTGGTTGGTCGTTGATATCTATAGTTTTATTTACAAGTATCACATTAGAGAATCTACTAAATATATCGATTTTGTTTCATTGTATCAAAATCAAATGATCATCGAAAGGATATTTTCGGAAATATGTATATTAATGCTGACTTGTTTGATCATTCATCAAAGAATCTTACTTTTTTATAAGGTACATTAAATTTTATCTATTCATGGAATAGAATTGTATAAGAGAAAGTATAATAAACAAGACAAACAATTTAAAACTCTTAATACTGAAAAATGTATTGAAATATTCTGTCTAAGATCTTTAAGATTCAATAATCATATTGTCTGTTAACTTAATTCTAATCACATTTCTGTCAATACTATATTTTTATTGTTTTTTTTACTCAGTAGGTGTGATAAATTTCTTAGATCATTTTGATTTTACAGAATATTTGAATTGTTGATAAAATCGAACATATATTTTGAGATTATTATTTCTTATAAATACAAACAGTTATTAAGTGTTGCAAAATTGTTTTATTTTCTCTTTTCATCTTCCTCTTTAAACAAAGCAATTTCTTTAAATGAGTATTAACTTAGGACGATCCAGAGTTGTTTTTTTATCTTTGTTTTTTTTAATGCGGTGCGATTCACTCGAAGTATCTTAAAGAGACAGATGTCTTAAAATCATCCACATAATGAAAGTTAGCAGCGGATTCGAGTTTTTCTTGCTGACATTCGCTGCTAGACTTGTTATGGTTCTCAAACCTGTTGTGATGTATAGTGAATTGAATTTTTCTAGCGAAAGGTGCGGTTGGCTGTGGGTGTCGGTGTAGTTATATAATATGTAATATGGAAGCTCAGACACTCATCATCATATCAAAGATTGAAAAATATGAATTCAATAGGCTCTGTAAGATGTCTGCAATCGAGTCAGAAACAAATTCTGCATCTAACCCACTCATTCAGAGATCTAGCCCAAGCCTAGTACCACTTCTAAAGGTGGCACTTTTTCAATGAGAATTACTACATTTTATTCACTGTATCCACTTGAAAATATCGTCATTCGCTCAGCAACTGAACTCTCTATCATTTTCAATCAACTACAGATTCATCACCAGTCAATGATTTTTTTGATTGAATCTTTTATTTGATTCTAATACGAATAAGGTAAGAGATAATACATCAATACAAGAAAGAGATACTTAAACAAATTCTATATGATCATCAAGTGCCAATATTTATGTTGATAACATGCGAAGAAAACTTCATCATTAAATATTCCTTTTAAATCAAAATAATCGTTAACATCATGAGATCTAACCAAATAATATAGTTCCATAATTGAAATTCGTCTTGTTTAATATATTTGTATGTTAATCAAATAGGATGTCAAACTGAATAAAAAATATTTTAACATAAAAATATATATCTTCTCTTCACAGTCAGTTTAAGAAAAAAAACTCATTTATTTTACTTTCCATAAATGTTAAATCAATATTCTTCTTCTTTGTTTGTGTTTTTTGGAATGAAAATAATATAAAATACAATTTTTTTCTTAGATCAAAACAATATTAGAAGATTAACTTGCTAATGTTCTTTGTTATATTCTTTTAGCAATGGCTAAATTGATGGCACCGTTTATACTATTTATTTTGTTTTCTTTTAGTTTTCAAGAAAATCTAAAACAAAATTTTCTTTAGTCATTCATTAGTAAATAAAAATATTGAACATGCTGTACATACAGTAATTAGATTAGGCCAAGTTGTACGAAAAGAAAAAAAAACTGTTTCAATGAAAATAAATTTAATTAAAGTATTTAAATGTAAATATTAAGCACGTAATTATTTGTTTAATATCTATTACTAGAATTTACTGTTATACATAAAGCTCGATTAACATTTTATGATACAGCAAATACTGTTGTCTACTGACATCTGATGGGCTTATCAGATATTTCTTTCGTTTTTTTTTTGTTGAGAGGGAACAAAGACTTATTGAAACATAAAGGCTTACTGTTCTCAAATGTTTAAATACATGCGCCAACCTGCCTATTTCACTTATCACTAACATTTTCCATTTTCACACTGCTTATTTTATAAGGACTATTCCAATGGGTTTCTTAATGGTAAGTTCATGTGAATAGGGAGCATGGTACTGGTAAATTGTAGCGAAAATGTCAATTAGATTAGATAGACAATTCTAAATTTTATTCAATTCTAGATAGACCTATAAGTTTTTTCATTGTTGACCCTAAAATTAGTAATACCAACATGGACAATGACGCAATGATGAATGATGAAGAAGCAAGTTATTGCGAGTCCTCTTTCTCAAATTCTAATATTTATTATTTGTTTTATAGATTATCGATGTCGAACAACAACATACATACAATTCCATCGACAGTATCTATCAAGGACATATCAATATCTTACTTTCTCAAATTGATTTTTTAAATCGATGTCTTATTCAACAAAATTATGTATTCAGTTGTCAATTACAAGAACTACGACAAGCATTCATTCATGAATTAGAACAACAACGGCAAGAATTCAATCGTAAATTCGAACAACAACAAGAGATGTTCAACGCTGAAATAATTAAATTATTAATTGAGAATATGCTTTATAAAATAAGTGAATGAATTCTTGTTCTTATTCCAATATTATTATTGATGTTATTTGAAAACTTTCTTTTTTTGGCACACGAATGTTACTTATGTACAACGATTGAAATATTCTTTTTACGCAAAAAATTCTTTTTCTTGGTCAAATATTTCCTTGTGCAATCGATCGAAATTGTTTGTTCAAAAACGTATTTATTTTTGTTGCATAAATATTTTTTTATGTAATAACTATCACATTTCTTGGTTAAATATGTTTTTTGATGCTCGAATATCTTTTGTACAATGGATAAAAAAACAATGTTTTTTTCTTGCTCTACGAATATTTTTCTTCTATGCTCATTGTAAATTTTCTTTCTTAAATAAGTTTTTCTTGTTATCTAATTATATTCTGTAATATCTTTATACACTATCTTGCTCAAAAAAAAAAGTTTTTCTTATTGCACAAATAAAAAAGATGCGAAAATACTTGAAAAAAAAATTGTTGATCGTATGGGTCGATGGATTGATTTCGACGAAACTATAACATAAGGTATCCATGATTTTAAGAATCAGTTTGGTCTATAGTTTTAAATAATTAAAGAAAAAAAAAATTTTACTTGTCGAGGTTTTAAAGTATGAATAAAAAATTATTCAATACTTGAAAATTAAAAAATACTTTTATTAAGGTAATACCTTCTTCAATAGGTTCTTGTATTCCTATGAAATTTCAAAGCTGGTCACAACTATAAAGATGTTGATGATCCAGCTGTTCGGGTATCATTTCCACTTATTGGTGATCCAACAATTAAATTTGTTTCTTGGACAACAACGCCATAGGCATTACTATTCAGTCTTGCACTTTATGTTAATCATAATTCAACTTATGTCCAAATTCTTGGTTTGTTTCTATCAGATAATTATAAAAAAATGAAGTTCTTTTTGTATTATTTAGATTAAATGAAGAATGAAGTTTTTATTTTAGAAGAAACACGAGTATCCGAAATTTATAAAAAGTCGGAGAATTATCAAGTATTAGAGAGGTAAGCTAAATGAAACTCTCTATTTAATTTTTTCTAAACAATATATATATGACTTTTTTAAGTTTAAAGGATCTCATCTAAAAGAAATGCATAATACATCACTATTTCCTTTCATTACTGATGTAGGATTAGTTTGATGTTTCTAATAATTATTTTTATTTTGTAAAACAATAGGTCGAAACAGTATTTCGTGTATTATGTGATGATTATGCAACCGAAGATAGTGGTATACAGAGTGCGTAAATATGTTTTTCCAGGGAGCTAACTCTATGCTAACATATAGTAACCATAATGAATTTTTTGTAGCAAATGAAAGCGCGGAAAAAATCTGATATTCTGATGCTAAATTGTGAGGATTCTGAAAAATTTTTTATAACAAAGAAAGCAAATCTCTGAAAAAACGATCTCAAAAGTAGTCTTTCAGGAGCCGTAACTCTATAATTCCACATAATAACCATAATGAATTTTATACCAAATGAAAGCGCGGGAAAGATGTGATATTCTGATGCTAAATTGTAAGGGTTCTGAAAGTTTTTTTGATAACGAACATAATTTATCTTTTAGAATTTCGAGCTATTTCGCTATGAAGAAGTTTATTGCTTGAAGCAATTCGAAGTGAATCTAATTGGAAGCGATCGATAGCATCAAAGGGATTTATTTTTCAAAACTGATTAGTAAAATTAATAATCAGTGTGATGTCCATTGGCATTCCTCACTGCCTGAAGACGGGACGGATACGAACATAAAAGAGTTTCAAATAGTTCTACATTTGTTTCCATGTTAGTGAGAACATGTATGAGATGCTTTTTTAATGTCTCTTGCTTATAACGATTCTCCACGGTTTCCGATAATATTTTTCGCTCAACTTCATCTTTAATTATTGCTCCAAGATGTTCAGCAACATTCAGATCAGGTGAATTGCCAGGCCATGTGTCATTGCCCCAAAGAGTGATATCGTTCTCTTTAAGCGGATGTTGAGTTATATTTGCACACATGTATGGCGCTTTGTCATGGACAAATATCATTTGATCAGAATCGATTACATTTTCTTCGTCGTTGAGAAATGGAAACACGTGTTGCATCAAAATAACGTCACGGAAATATTGACCAGTCCAAGATTCACCCTTCTCTTTCATTACCAAATGCAGCTTTTTTGCCGTGAAAATGATAAAAATACCGCTGCATGCTTGGTTTTTTACCATTTCGCGATACTTTTCATCATCTTCAATACCTTCAACACTTCTTGCCCAAACTCTATCATTTTGATAAATTGGTCTGCGAATAGTCCAAACATAAAATTCATCCAATGGTGCGAAATGAAGAAAATCTTCTTGAATCCAGTCTCTTAGCCAATCACAAAACTACAATCGATCCGAAATATGGGTTTCTGTTTTTAAGGGTTTTGGAATAACATGAAATGGTTTCAATTCATCCCTATGACGGTAATTATCGACTGTTTTTGGTGTAACATATGTCGCAATCTCTTTGACGAAAGCGTAAGAACTTCTGTTTTGCTTGCCAGTTGCACTGAGAATGGGATTTTGACTGGCATCTGATAATTTCAGTTTTCGACCACACTCGAAATAATTAGCGAAGCAATCATCGTACGATCTCTCCATGTCGAGCCTCACGAAAAGCGATATATTTGATTCTGTCGAAGATTAGTACCACAGCCAGTTTCAACCAATTAACTTAACTTCAGCCACCAAAAGAATCGATTTTTGTTGTCTATCTACCTTATATACCACGAAATGACTTTGCGCTGTTGCAGAAGGTCATGAAATTTTTATCCTTAGACAGATAGAAATGAAAAATACCATTTGATGAGTGAATCGAAACGTGCTTGCAGAACGAAAAGATACTCAATAGAGAATATATAACGAGTACTGTAGAGATGTCCATCGCGGCAGCGGCAGATTTTTTCCAAAAACTATCGCGGCGCGGGAGAGATTTTTATTTTGCCGCCGCGGCAGCGGCGCGGCGGCGGCAGCTTTTTAGGAAAAAATTTCAAAAATTCATGAATTTGCACAGAATCTGCATGTTTATGTATGCTATACTGTAAGACTTAGCGAATCTGATCGATTAGCAGCATCAGTTCTATTTCAAACCAGTCAAAGCCTTGAAAATCAAAACATTTTTTCGAATACCAGCGCGGCAGCGGCGCGGTAGCGGCAATTTTTTTTTAAGGCGCGTCGCGGCAGCGGCGCGGTAGCTTTTTTTAACAGGCCATCGCGTCGCGGGAGCGGCGCGGCAGCTTTGTTTGATTTTGGCCGCGGCGCGGCAGCGGCAGATTTTGAGCCGCGATGGACATCTCTGGAGTACTGCTACACACTTTCTCTCATTTTGCTGGCATACCATCATTCATATTCAGAAGTAGAAGATAAAAAGCTGAGAGCATGAACAAGAATGATATCATCTTATGTGCTGGATCATGTTAAATGATTTGCACAGTGATACTTATATAAATTTGTGTGGAAAAAAGCACATTTCTTACCTGAAAACTCATTATCGATACGTGATCACGATGATTCTGTGCAAATTTTCAAAAATAAATTATGTTCGATATAAAAAAATTTTCAGAACTCTTACAATTTAGCATCAGAATATCAGATTTTTTCCGCGCTTTCATTTGCTACAAAAAATTCATTATGGTTACTATGTGTTAGCGTAGAGTTACGCCCCTGGAAAAACATTTTTACGCACTCTGTATATGTTATTGGTAAATATTCAGAGACAAGATTAGACTGTGTCTTGAACCATGAAGTAATTCTAGCATTTGATGGAACATAATGAATGTTATAGTGTACACAGGATTATGCATGGGTCGCGACTCTTCGGGTGATGACGCTTTGCACCACCACACCCTTACATTGCTTCTATCACTCTGTAGGACTCAGAAGGTAGGTATTTTCTAGCTCCACGTGTGAAGGACATCTGAAAAAAATCATATTGCTCCGATGTAATTATTATTGAGGTGTTAAAAAAAACTGGTTCTTCCCTGCCTGACAACACTCATATGTACTAAGTGAATATTGATTCTCTCTAACTATAATAATTATTAGAACCTTCTTAGTCTTTATCTTCGAACAGAGTGAGAAGAAACAATGTTGTTATTAAACTTTTTTCGATCACTAAATTTTTAAAGTAAGATATTAAAAACCTTGTGTTTAAATTAATTGTTGAATTCGACTACATTGATAGTTTTGAATTTTGTAGATGACTTTGCCTCATGCACAGTTCGTTAAAGTTTTATATCGAGTTCATGATGGTTTATTAGTATGACAGCTTCAACAATAATAGATGTCATCGAGCCAGCCAAATATACAATCACGCAACAACGAATGATGCATTTTTTTTATCTCAATATTATTATTTTCTGAACACTCAATTCAGAATCTTAATTTTCAACTATTAAGTATTGATGATAAAGGTGTGTGGATATGTGTTAAGTATCTTATGTGGTTGATTAACTTCGATATATGAAAAAAATTCGGAAAATAAATATGGAAATGTTTTAATGTAATTTCTGAATTGTTACCTATCTCATAGGTTGATTTCACTGTCGTTTTCGGTAGCCAAAGCAAGTAAAATGTAAAAACTGGATTTGTTTTTGGCATAAAATATGACAAGAATATATTTCATTTCTGTCAAAATAAAAAATAATTACTAAATATTCAAATTATGCATGCTAAGAAGGCTATTTTGACTTTCAATTTTATGAAATTTTATTTTTGTGAATAGAATACATAAGAACATGAAAGAATGTTACATTATCAATGATGAATAATCATCAATACAAAATGACTGAAGCATTTTTCTTTCTTCCCATCAACACACTTGTTTATATATGCATATATATTTAACTAATAAAAATTAGTATGAACACGTGTAACATCGAGTATATGCCATGAATAGGTTTTTTATGAATGAGAAATTTTTTACCTTCATAGAATGAAAACGAACGATGTATTTTATTCATACTTACCTTGGGAGTATGCAAGAAAAAAACATCTATATATGCATCAATTACTTTTACTTTTTATTCATAAGCAAGAAACAGGTTTTTGTTTTTAGCATTCGACGATACTGACGGACTCGTATTGAGATGGATAGTAGTTACCATCCATTAACTTCAGAAGATGAAGAGCTTTATCAGCTAGTAAATAATATCCAGTTAATTCTTTTTTTTTTCTGTGCCTACCGTATTTATTGTTTGTTTTGTAGCATGCAGAAGGTATTGAACAAAAAGTACATGAAACATTTCCAGAAATTCCATCTGATTTTCAATTGAAACCAGTAGCTCTTCGTAAAACAAATATGTGTGCTATACGTTATGAATTCAAAGTAAATCAACATTAACATTGCTAATTATTTGAAGAACGCTTTATTTTTTATTTTTAAATGATATAGCTTGCCTTACCCGATGACAAATTTGCGAAAGTTTCATTTATGCTAGGTGGTGATATGATGATACCACCTGGTGAGCGTAAACCACAAGCACCCAATTACAACGTTGAACCAACGTCAGCTTCATTAGATGATGACTAAACGATGAACATTAGATAGACAATAACTTTATTTCTGAGCGCCTATTGACTAATTATTACATATTATACTAATCTTACTAGCTATATTTGATTACTATTTAGAAAAAAAATATTTAACTAATATTTTAATAGTATCTTTTGAAAAAAGCAACGTAGCCAAAATAAAAGTATTCGAAAAATATATAAAAGTGACTTTGATCTAGTTACTTTCGTGTTTACAGTAATAACGTGAGATAGTCATGGCTTGAAT